GGACCTCTAATTTTATGAATAAGCTTTGTTTATAGGCTGTAAATTTGTTCCAGCATAAATATCCCAACTAATGCTCAAAAGTTTTTGAAACCTATAAATTATCAATAGATATTTTCTTGAAAATTGTTGACTGAAAAAAAAATATTATATTTATATATTATGTTGAATTATTGGCACATGGTTGTTTTCCACAATATTTTGGTCAGCGTATGGCATGTTTAAAAAAAATCGAATTCTTTTTAAATTTAGCGGCTTAAATTCAAACCGACAAGTGTTTAATTTTTACGTCCCGTTATTCCGATGGGACGGAAAACTTTAAAATGTAGACTAGCGTGTGAATTCCTAGCGGCATCAAGCGGTCTGTCAGGACCAGAATAATTGCAACTGTTTCAAGTTACTAGCCGAACTGGAGAAATAGCGTGAAGAAGAAATTCAAGTTACTAGTCGCGTTTGAGAAAAAGCGTGAAGCAATCGCAACTTTTTGTTTAGTCATCCTTATATGGCGGGTAATTCATCCTTATTCTGAGCGGTTTAATTAAACTCAAGCCTCGCAATATCTGTACCTATTACACAGCCCGTTCACTCACATCGTTGTAGTCGCCCAATGAGGGAAAAAAAAGCCTCTTTGGCGGGATCGCTTCTAGCAGGGTCTGCGCTGCGTTTGGAAGCGATGCCTGGGAAGGGGCCGTGGCGCAAAGCCTGGGAGTAGCCAGGCTACTCCAAACTGCGAGGCCACTACGGAGAAGGCCTCCTCCGCGACCCCCTTCTTTGCACTCAATAGGAACAACCGGTCTTCCTTGCTAAATAATGATGGTGATGATGATGATGATGATGATGATGATGATGATGATGATGATGATGATGATAATAATAATAATAATAATAATAATAATAATAATAATAATAATAATAATAATAATAATAATAATAATAATAATAAAAAGTTGGAAGGGACCTTTGAGGTCATCTAGTCCAACCCCCTGCTCAGCTTTACTATTTTTTATTATTATTATTATTATTATTATTATTATTATTATTATTATTATTATTATTATTATTATTATTATTAAAGTTGGAAGGGACCTTGGAGGTCATCAAGTCCAACCCCCTGCTCAGGCAGGAAACCCTATACCATTTCGGACAAATGGCCGTCCAGTCTCTTCTTAAAAACTTCCAGCGTTGGAGCATTCACTGCTTCTGGAGGCAGGTTGTTCCACTGGTTAATTGTTCTAACTGTCAGGAAGTTTCTCCTTAGTTCTAGGTTGCTTCTCTCCTTGATCAGTTTCCATCCGTTGCTTCTTGTCCTGCCTTCAGGCGCTTTGGAAAAGTCATCAGATACACGCTGAGGATAAAAGTCAGGTTCGCCGGCCCTTTTTCGTTCCCTTGCGCGCCTGTTTATTGGTCGTCGTTTAAACGCTGGACAAATTTTGGGGTGATACTGGAGGAAATCTATGGTTGCGATAAATAAAATCTATTTTTGGTTAACGCCGTTGGTTTACGATCGCCGCGGCGCTGATAACGCAGTCTGAAGAGCCCGGAGCCGAAGGCTGCCGCCCTACACTCTGGTGTAAGTCCCATTGAATTCAACAGGAATTGCTCCGGGGCAGAACGAACGTAAAGATGCGTAGCGGACAGGAGAACTTCTAAGTTCACTTTGCCCTTCGTTTGCAGGACTTTGTCTGGTAAAAAAACCTCAAAGGAAAAAAAAATAAAGGGGAAAATAGGCGCAAAAAAAGTCCAGATGTGGACACCCCCCCCCGTGGGTTGTTCTGGGGGCAAATATTATTTTTGCCTCCGTGGTACTGTAATCTGTTGTTACAAAGCCAACCAACCAACTAGCAGGGGTTCTCAACCTTGGCAACTTTAAGACTTGTGGACTTCAACTTCCAGAATTCCTCAGCCAGCTTTGCTGGCTGAGGAATTCTGGAAGTTGAAGTCCACAAGTCTTAAAGTTGCCAAGGTTGAGAATCCCTGCGATAGTTTGTTAGGATATGCGCCCCTCCGCATTGTAACCGCAAAGCGAAAAATGCGCGCTATTCAAGACCCTGAAACTTTTTGCTAGAATAAATCTGATGGCCTCCGGGGCGCGATAAGAGTCTGAGATGCTTGTCGAATCCATTCAAATACATGCGTGCCAAACTGGAAAGTTCTGTAACCGTCCTAATACAACAGGGGGGATATTGAATAACGGCGCATCTTATTTGCAGAGAAAGGCAGAGATAAAGAGGTGGTTAGAACCAAAAGGCTCAGGAGAAAGAGGCTTTAAATGTTAAAATAAGGGGCGAAGTTGGGGAAAAAAATTGGTTTTAATTACAAAAGGATGTCATGAATGGCATAATGCATTTTTAATTATAATTGTGGTTCCGTTTGGCTTTGTACTAAGAAATTCTATGCAGATTTTCCCGGATAGAAGTCCTTGAATTCTTAAAATAAATATCCTCTCCCCCATCCTACTCAGTTTAGAGAAGTTTCTTTTACTCTGTATTCGTTTCGCTTCTTCCTATTCAATTGAGGTGAAACCAGATTACAGGCAGCCCGAAATACAGCTAGCAGATGGTTTCGTTTTTCCCGCAAGGCTGTATGAAGGCTGCTAGCTGTTATAAACTAATGTAGTCCTGGTTTGTCACTGAGGTGGTTATATGAATGTGGTCTCCAAACCAAGGTTAAGCACAATGTCAAAATTGTATCCAAAGGAGACCGTGAAGCGCGTGCTTTTATCTCAGGTGTAATAAGAAAGGACAACAAATCTTTTATAAAAAAAAATGTTTCATGGGCTGCCTCCGATCAGCAAATAAGGTAATGAGTCGTGAGAAACGTGAGCTCTGGGCGATTGAATCTCGGCATGTCCTCTAGTCTAGCGTTTCACTGCAGCTACATAATTTGTCTCTTTGAAGAGGAACACGCACTTTTCTCGTTATATTTTAATAACATGCATGAGAGCCAGCTAAAGACATCAGCTAAAAACCAGGAGCCTGTGAGTTCTGGTTCCACCACAGGCACAAAGCCAATTGAGTAACCTTGGGCCAGTCAGTCTCTCTCAGTCCTAGGAAGAAGATTTTCCACTTCTGAAAAATCTTGCCGGGGAAAACTGCAGGGACTTACTTGGTCCAGGTAGTCTCTGAGAGAAACGAACTTGAATTAGATTGAATTAAAAATGAACTTGAATTGAACTGTACAAGGGGAAAAAATGACATAGTGTTTAAACCCTGGGCATCATGCAAGCACCACCTCACTGCCTCCCATCCTTGTTGTGTTTCTTCATTAATTAACCCAGGAGACCAGGCAAATGCAGATTGTCCAGGCTTATAACAACACACCCATTTCACATGCCTAGAGACTAAATGCCATTAATCTTCTCAAATGGAGAACAAGGGAAGACTTGAAATAGGAGGAATCCCTTGTTACTTTACTTGAACAGGAGGACTCTCCAAGAAATCCTAGATGAGAAATATTTTGAAAACTTTGGTTATAATGGACTTTGGTGTAAGAAACTGAGGTGGAGAGAATTCTACTGAATGGGCAGGGCAGGAGAAGAGGATGGAATAATAGGTGTGAAGGGAAGGTGGATGAGTGGGAGATGGAGAGAAAAGAAGGGAAGGAGAAAAGCGGGGGGGGGGATTGGAGGAGGAGGAGGAGGAGGAGAAAGAGAAGGAGGAAGAGGTGTTTTCAGGATAAAGAGGCAAGCAGAAACTATTCAGACCAAGAACACTTCAAAGCATAACAGTTCAGGATGAAAGTCAACGATGTCCGTAGATATCCAAGATAGGAAATATTTAATATAGAACCGGTTACCATCACCAGTGTATCTTTCCCACTCTCAGAAAAAAAAACTCTGAAATTGGGAAGGTGGGATGGGAAGGGAGATAGTTGCTGATACCATACAGGGAAGCCCTCCCTAATTCCACATTTCTTTGCAAGAGGGGAATGCATTGTATCTTGTATCTTCTTGATTTGAAAGGAGTTCTGTGCAGCAACTAGCTCAGAGAATTCCATTTTTGAAGGGTGAGGGTGCATTTTAAGCAAATAACAATTTCCCCCTCTATTCGTTTCTCACAAATAGATATAGAGTTAATTGAAGCACCTGCCCCAAATACCAAGGTATTTTCTGTTGAAGAAAAATGCCAAGAAACTGGGAGTTGGATCTTACTTTTATCCAGCAAGAAGGAATTTTATTCAGGGAGCAAGTTACCTTCTTCTGATATAAACAAAATCTAATTGTAACAGATTGCCATTTTAGATGGCCTAATTACAGGGGTAGGCAACCTTGGCTCTTTTATGACTCGTGGACTTCAACTCCCAGAATTCCTGAGCCAGCCATGCTGAGGGGAAAGAGAGAGGTTTCCATGCTTAGCCATGCTGGCTCAGGAATTCTGGGAGTTGAAGTCCACGAGTCATAAAAGAGCCAAGGTTGCCTACCTCTGGACTAGGCCTAGGCCTCTTTATGACTCGGGGACTTCAACTCCCAGAATTCCTGAGCCAGCATGGCTCAGCTTGGAAACCTCTCCCTTTCCCCTCAGCATGGCTGGCTCAGGAATTCTGGGAGTTGAAGTCCACGAGTCATAAAAGAGCCAAGGTTGCCTACCCGTGGCCCTAATAGATTCAGATTCTCCCAAAGGCTAAATATCTTCTTAAGTCTAGTTTAGCTCCTGATGTCTCCATGAATGCATCTTCAATACAGTTTTCTTGGCAACGTTACAAAAGCGGTTTTTTTTTCCCGGTTTCCCAGTCTATTCTGCCGCTTAGGTTTTCCTGGTGGTATGCTATCCAAATACTGGCCCTAGTTAGTTTTTCATGGCCAATCGAGGTTAGTTATGTGGTGCCCAGAATCAGTCGGTAGACAGCTCCTCGTGTGAGCGCATTCTTTTCTTCCCCAAACGCTTACAAACAAACAGCAGCTAAGGCTCTGGGCGTTTCCCAGATTGGTCTCAGGTTTCTAGTCCTTAAGATGCACCCCGCGCTCTCCCATCCCGGAAAATGTCTGAACTCTCGTTCTTCCTTAGGTGGCTCCTACGTGGTGGAACCGGAGGAGAACAAGCGGACCCGGACAGCCTACACCAGGGCGCAGCTGCTGGAGCTGGAGAAGGAGTTCCTCTTCAACAAGTACATCTCCAGGCCGCGCCGGGTGGAGCTGGCCGTCATGCTGAACTTGACCGAAAGGCACATCAAGATCTGGTTCCAGAACCGGAGGATGAAATGGAAGAAGGAGGAGGAGAAGAAGCGAGGCCCGGGGGGCGTCGGGGGCAACCAGGAGCCTGAGCAGGACTCCGCCGTCTCCTCGGGGGAATTACCCGGGAAGGAGGAAGGGCAAGAAGACGAGACCCCCGTCGCCAAGCTGCTGCTCCCCGCCAGCCCCGCCGTCTCCCCCCGCCGTCTCCCCCCGGAGACGCGGTGAAGGGGGCGGATCAAGTCGCGGACAGGCCTTTCGAGGGCCAGAGCGCCCCCTGGCGGAGCCTCCGCGCCTCTCGAGCACCTCTGCAGGGCGTAAGGAAGAAGGCTTATCCGTTGGACTACAACTCCCATGAGAAGTGAAGCTGATGGGAATTGTAGTCCGAGGCAACTGGTCCGGGTTGGAGAGGAAGAGGAACAAGAGCCACGCCCCTTCCCGTTTGCCTCTGCTTTTGTTTCTCTCCCCTCCTCCCATTTTAATCCAGTTTTGGAAGGGTTTTTTTTTTTTTTTAAAGAAAGATTATTTTCAAGGCTGACAAAGCTGGTTAATTAAATGATTCCTCCATGTGATACGTATTTAGCCACTGACTGTATTGGGGAAGTGGGAGGAGAAAGGCAAGATTTCTCTTGCACTGGATAAGGTTGAAGCTGTTATATTTCCTGGGTAGCCTCCCCCACCCTATGCCCACTAGGCTACCTAGTTGATCTTTCATGTTTTAAAATTCTTCTAATTAAAAACACAATGGGAAGCCAGCATGCTGCAGACCTCAAGCATAATCTTCCTTTCCAGCCATGCCTCAACTCACAAAGTCCTTCTCTGAAAATAAAGCGGGTCAGTGGTTGCAACCTTGGAAATTGGCGGAGAACTTGGAGAGAAAACCCATCACTTCCCCTTCAATTAAATTTTATGAGACTGTGCATGTGTGAGACAGAGAGAGAGAGACAGAGAGATACCTTTCAACTAAAGCTGCAATTCAATAGACCAGGAGTCCTCAACCTTGGCAACTTTAACACTTGTGGACTTCAACTCCCAGAAAACACCTCAGCCAGCAAAGCTGGCTGAGGAGTTCTGGGAGTTGAAGTCCAAGTCCACAAGTCTTAAAGTTGCCAAGGTTGAGGACCCCTGCAATAGACACTGACTTGGGAGTATGTTCCTCTCAGAAGGCAGAGATATCTTCAGTATATGGTGAAAAGTTAAGAAGAGGGGCTGTGGCGTGCATTTTGAATCTCCATTTGTTTATAGCAATAGCACTTAGACTTATATACCACTTCACAGTGCTTTACAGCCCTCTCTAAGCAGTTTACAGAGTCAGTGTATTGCCCCTAACAATCTGCGTCCTCATTTTACTGACCTTGGAAGGATGGAAGGCTGAGTCAACCTTGAGCCAGTCAAGATTAAACTTCTGGCAGTGGGCAGAGTCAGCCTGCAATACTGCATTTTAACCACTGCGCCACCACGGCTCAGTGTGCATTGCACATGGAAACCCCCCCCCCCCAAAAAGGTGGCACTTCCGTTGCGTGCTTATGGATGCTATCAGGGCTTTTTTCTCCATATCCTGTTGTTGACACACCTGAGATAGGTTTGAGATCTGAGATCTCTGTCTTGAAGATTAGGAAATGTAAGGAAAAATAAAAAGGTAACATGACTGGCAATCTCCGCCTTCTTGGAGACCCTTCAGGGTTGACAATAGGAACTTTTCAGGGTGGCGGCAGCAGCATTAATAAGTCTGCTCCCTATCCTGGTTGGGATGGATGAGACATCAATCTGAGCATCATCTCCACAGTTTCCTACTTGCAGCTTGAGGATTCCTTATTGCAATGCTTCCCAAACGTTGTCGCCCAAAACTGCTTATCAGAAAGTCTTATCAAATTTTGAGAACTGGTTGTAAAATCCTTTTCTTCAATATAACTTTGAATTGTCATAACTTGGGCCCCTGAACGAATGATCATAATTCAAGGACTACTTGTGTATTATAAAAACAATATCACTGAATGATCATTACGTCATTTCAATCAATTACCATTGGTAATTTTGCCGATTTTCATCTTTGGATAAAATACTTTAGAATACTTTGAAAGATTTTTTTTTTTTTTTTTAGTATAGTTCAGTACACGAGGCAATGTTTAAGTTAATTTAGACGTCCCTGTTGTGATGAGTAATGAGTTTGTATGTTGTTAAGGAAAAAACACTTTTACCCAATTTTGGGCAATTTACTTAGGTTTGGGAAGCACTGTCTTATGGACATGTCTCCATGATATTGCCTTTGTCTCATCCTGCCATAACTAAGGCCACCTAACCATATTTAGTTTATTTGATACTAGCTGTACCTGGCCACGCGTTGCTGTGGCTCAGTCTGGTTAAATGGAAAAGAAAGAAAAGAGAAAGCGCACGTTTGTAATATGTTTAATTTCACAATGCTAGCATGTGTTGCTTTTACGTCCAACAGATGGCACTGTTTTTCAAAAAAAGCATGTTTTTACCTGTCACAGGTGTGACATCTATATAATAGTAGGTATATAGAAACACGCGCGTATTCGAATGCAACGTTGTGTCAAAATTTCAAAGCAATCGGTGAAGAACTTTCGGAGATTTAAGATTTTGAACAAATGAACATTTACATTTTTATTTATATAGATTAAAGTGGCCATTCTCATCTTTTTTTTCCTGACATAAAACATGATTTCTCATACTTTGGCAATGGCTGTAGTAATGTAGCAGAGAGGCACCCAGCTTTTACTAGATCCTACCCTTGTTGCTGCTACGGGGTTTAATCTCCTGAAGAGAAGAGAGGGCTCAACAATGCATCTTCTCATTTACTGAACGATTCCATCAAAACGTTCTCTGTTTCTAGGCCACATATATAAAGCTGAAGTAATGCAAGCCTTTTGCTACTTGTCCTCTTTTGGAAAGTGGTGGGGGCTGTAGGTGTTTTTTTGTTTTGTTTTTGCTGTTCTGGCAGTAGAAGCAGCGGAGAAGAGGAGCTTCAGTGCTAAAAGTGGCCTGGCCAGAGATGGGGGTGGGGAGTTCAGCTCCCTAGGCCTGTCAGCTGTTTTAAGGAAAATGAGGAATGCGGTGTTTGAGAGTGTGTGATAGAATGGGCAACATGAGCAAAAGTGCAAGAACAAGAGAGCAAAAAGCTTCAAAAAGCAAAGATGGTAGCCATAAGCATGTGATCAAAGCCCCGCCCTTTTTTTTGAACAGTCATCCAGTTGCGTGGTTGTAACTGCCTGCAGAAATGATGGTGCACGAGAGTAAATATAGAAATGAAACAGTGTGAAAGAATATAAGAGAGAGTGTGCAAAAACACATGAGTGGGTATAAGATCAAACTAGCAAGAGAATCAGAAAGCAGGAAAGAAGAGAGAGAGAGAGAAAAAACAGATTATAGAACATATAATAATTGAGTTGGAAGGGACCTTGGAGGTCTTCTAGTTCAAGTGAATGAGTGAATGAGCAGCAGTGCAAGAAGGGCAGAGTGAAAATGAGTGTGTGAGAGGCAATCAGTGGATCATGCTTGTGGTAAGTGAGGGCTTCTTAGGAATATAGGATTCCTAAGGAATATATAGGAATATATATAGGAAAGAATATAGGAAAGCAGAGCCTTCTCTGTGTTACCAAGAAATGGAGCCTCAACTCACCCTGCTGATCAGGTTCTTATAGATAGGTAAGCCCATAAACCTAGCCATCTGCCAAAACTTACCAAGGGGGGACATGATAGCAGTGTTCCAATATTTGAGGGGCTGCCACAAAGAAGAGGGGGGCAACCTATTCTCCAAAGCACTAGAAGGCAAGAAAAGAAACAATGAGTGGAAAATAATCAAGGAGAGAAGCAACCTGGAATTCTCCTAACAGTGAGAACAATTAATCAGTGGAACAGCTTGCCTTCAGAAGCTGGGGGCGCTCCATCAAAGGAGGCTTTTAAAAAGAGACTGGATAGCCACTTGTCCGAAATGATATGGGGGTCTCCTGATTGATTAGAGGGTTGGACTAGAAGACCTCCAAGGTCCCTTCCAACTCTGTTATTCTATTCTATTTCTTGAGGACTGAGTCTCTGCAAATGATATTTCCTAGAACTTTTCTTCACTTCCAGCATGTAATGATGAAAAAGTCATGCTTTTTTTTGGGGGGGGCTGCGATCTGGTTCTGATGTTGTTCCTGACCACCCTCCCTTTTTTTTTTTTGCCATGGACTGGTTTTGCCAATATTCTGATGGTGGCATATTCAAGGGATCCCTGGAGATGGTATTTGGGAAACTATAGAAATGGAATAGATAAATATAAAATAAATAAACAAATTAATGTGCTTAATTCTGTTAGCTTATTTTGGACACTCTCTTAAGCCATTCTGGCTTTCACCACAGGTCAGCTGTCCTCTCCATCTATATCAAGGCTGGGCAATTAATTTTCCAAGGACTGACATGAGAAACTGGGAGTATTATGGAGGGCCAAATCAATAGAGCTGTGAAGGTGCTTAGGCACACACACACACACACATGCACACAGATAAATTGGGGGGAAATAGCAGCCACCTTCAAAATAAAAGCAATGCTGGTGTATTGCATGCATGGCATACACTTATTTATATTTGATTTCTAATTGCCGATTGGCCTCATGTGGGCCAGACAGGAGCAGCCAAAGGGCTAGATGTGGCCCAGGGGACATAAATTGCCCAAGTCTGCTCTATTGCTTAAGAAATCTGAGCTAATTTCACTGCCCTACACAAACCTGAACACCAACTCAATGCCTGCAACATGTTAGGCTACTGTTAAACATGGATGCACGTGCCTAAATGTAGCCAGATTTAAAACTGAAAAGCATTTATGTGTGCCTGTGTTTGTGTATGTTTGTGTGTGGGCGTGGTGCAGGGGAGAAGGAGACTCCCTTCACACACTGTTAGTTGTTATACCAGTAATGTGATCTATTTTTGGAGCCGTCTGTACAGAATATTTGTTACATTTTTTTCATTCGTTTGGTTTTCACAGTATTTACATGGTAACTTGCAAACAACTACATTGCTATCAACAACAAAAATACAACAATGGTTATACATTTTTTTTAAAGTACATACATTATAATGTTTAAGATAAACTAAACACAAGAGAAAGGGGAAAAGTATTATTTTAAAAAGATGTATGCAGTACTTAGTATCCATATGGTGTTAATTTGGTCCTTAAACTTTTGATTAAATCTATTCCATTGGTGCAGCTTCCCATTTTTAGAATACAAA